GCCAAGGTTGAGAAACATTGCCTTGTCTCTTGCCTGATTTAGGATAACTTGGTCATTATGAGAGGGAGGGAGAGACTGGCATCTGTTATAGACAGCAATAAAACTGTTCTGATGATCCATCTTGTTTTGGGCAAGGCTAAAAATTCTTGAACTGAAACATAACAATAAATCAGGCTGACAGGAATATTATAGAAGTTATCTCTTGAAGTGGTGCTTCCTAGCCAATATTCTTCATTTGTCTTCTCTATGCTGCCTGTCAGGCAGTGGATCTGTCATTTCTGCAGCTATCGGCCATGAGGAAAGTGAAGCTATGCACATCTCTGTCTTTAAAGTGGACTGAACTTTTTTGCAGTTTAAATTCTGTATTGACAAAATTGTATTTCTTTCTCCTAGATCAGTGGTTCTCAATCTTTTTAATGCTGCGACCCCCCAACCGGTCGTACGTCGAGGACTACTCAACCGGTCGTAAGTCGAGGACTACTCAACTGGTGCAGCACCGTTTGCAGAATGGGACTTTTGGTGGGCTCAGCAGGGCAGAGACATCCTGGACAATTCCTATTGGCTTTTGAAAGCCAATAGAATTAGACCCTATTCAAGAGAGTCTCTTCTATTGGCTTTCAAAAGCCAATAGAATAAAAGGGAGTAGCACAGCTAAGGAAAAGGGGAAAAAAATGGCAGACTGTGTTGTTTGGCGACCCCCGTGAAATGGTAATTCAACCCCAAATGGGGTCCCGACCCACAGGTTGAGAACCACTGTCCTAGATACATAGAGTATGGAGCGTCAACACAGAAGGACTGCCTCTTTTTGGAAGATCAAGGTAGAAACCATTGAAATACTTTTTTGTCACTTCTAGATAGAGTAAATATTACATTTTCAAAATCGGGGACAAAGAACAATTTTAGGCAGAAAATGAAACAAAATAACAAACTGAAAAACACTGAGACTAATCAGAAGAAACATTTTTAAAGTGTGGAAACCTGTGTAAAAAAATATTGGCCACATATTAAGAATGTCTTAAAATGTTTATATTTCTCTTTACGATTACATAGGTAGTTTCTTTTCCTTTTTATCATTTTTGTTTTATTTCCTTTTTTGTTTGTATTTTTATTTACAGACATGATACCTTGTTTTTTTAGAAAAACAAAGAAGTAAAATGAATTATGTTTTGATTGTTCTGTTCTCATGGTTTTAACATTTGTTCAATGGGAGTTTGTTTTGCTATTGTCTTTATCGAATTGTTTTTATGAACGACTGATAATGCTTGAAGACATAGTCTGTGGGTCAATAGAAGCAGGCCTCTCAACTGTTGTTCCAATGTGGCTTTTTTTTCCCTTGGAATATTCCTCTTTATTATTCTTGAATTAAAACAAAATACAAACTACTAGTGTATGTGTAAAAGCAGATAAAAAGGAGGAATTTTTTTAAAAAGCAGAAAAAAAAAAGAAAAGTGTCTGCCATTCCCTTCTTACACAGGGAAGGAACGATGGCTCTTGGTAGAAATGCAAGAGTGGGGTTTTTTGGGGGGGAGGGGAATGGAGCTCACAGCCTTCAGATACAGCATCTCTGTCTGCTTTAATAGGAAATGTATAGGAATTTCCCCAAATGATGATTGGTGAAATGGAGAACAGGGAATCATCTATAGCAGAGATGGGCAGTTCCAAAATGAGATAGGATGGGATAGGATAGGATAGGATAGGATAGGACAGGGTTAGATTAGATAGATAGATAGATAGATAGATAGATAGATAGATAGATAGATAGATAGATAGATAGATAGACAGACAGACAGACAGACAGACAGATTCCATTCCTTGATAAAAACAGGATTTTTAAGAGTAGTAGATCAGCCTCCTTGCCTGGATAATTTCCCTTTCCTCACTTTCCCTTTCCAGCAGTTACCCATTCCTCTGATACTAACTCATCTAGTAGGTTATTTTACTTTTTTTTTTTTGCTGTTTCTACAGAAAAGAGAACGTGTATCCATACTTGTTTCTGGGATTAAGAGCGATTTGTGGGTTAGGTGAAAATGGTTGGTATAAACTAGGCATGTCCAACCTGCAGCCCATGGGCCAAATATGGCCCTTGACAGCTAGTAATGTGGCACCACGATAATAAAAATATATTCTAAAAAAGGAAAATTATTTACATCAACTACGTTATATGCTGCCCAAGACAATTCCTCTTCACTCGTGCAGCCAAACAAGCTAAAATATTGAACAAAGTGGCATAAACAGAGGGAGATCAATTACTGATATAAATGGGGTACCTTATTTTTCAGGTCATTAATTATCATTAGAAGTTATTAATTCAATTATTTTTGTTCTAGTCCTGTCTTTTCTTTCTTTTGGGGGGGGGGGCAGCATTTGGAAGACAGATATACAAACATTTGCAAGTGTTACATACATAGGATTATTTATGCATCCAGCTGTTACTGGATAACAGCTTTCTTTTTCATTTTTTCTTTCTTTTTTTTTCTTTTTCAAATTTACAGAGCTTCCTATGTCACAAAACAACTGACTGCGGAAGTAGTTTTCAGCAGGATATGGCAATATTAGGTTGGCAAGTTCTAGAAGCTGGATTTTGCAGGTTTCTCTCTGTTATGTATCCTTTTTTTCTCTGCTCCCTCTTCGAAGGAGTTATCAAATTCAAGGTCATCTCTCAGGAGTATATTGGTATATGGTTAGAGGATTTTTAAGATCTTTACTTCACCTTGGAGGGATGGCTATACATGTGTGAACAGATTATTTAGCAGTGCAGAATGCCCCACATGTATGATTTCAAAGTGTGTGTGCTTAACAACTGTTTTGAAACAAATTGAATTTAAAGTTAAGTTCAATTGAACAAAAAGAAAAGGTCTGCTGGAGGAGTCCAAGGGCTACCATAGCTTACAATTCCGTTTCTCAAAGTGAGCAGTCAGATATTTCCTGGGTTCTCAAAAGCAAGAGTTGGAGACAGACCATCATCCACCACTGTTCCACTGCCAGTGATACTTAGAATCTGCTGCCTCCGAGGTACACTGACTTGAGATTAGAGTTGTCAAGTCCTCAGATCGGAAAATGTACAGCGATGCTTCAGGTCCAGCATGGATTTATTTGCTATACCTGTTGTCAGCTCCTGCAGCTTATTCTGATCTTCCATGGTCAGCCCTTCAAGGTAGATTAGGGCAAGGTAGAGCCATGGCAGAGATTTCAGAAACATTCTTTACTGTTATAGAGTAGAATTAATAGAATCTTGAAAGCTTATCAGAGCTTTTCTCTAATTCATCTCATACCAAACAACACCAAGTTTTTTTTGGGTGGGGGGGTTGCACACTTAGTCAGGACTAAGTAAGTTTAGCAATTTATTCATTCTTTCCTCACTCCTAGTCTTCACCACACCTTCACCACTCTGCTTGTTAACAAGCATTGTAAGCTCCTCCTTAACTCAAAGGCATGCCAGCGATACTATTCTGCAATACCACGAAAAGATTATTCCCTCAAGGATCTAACAGTAGGTAGAGCAAAGAGGTTTGATCTGAAGTTCTTTTGCCCACTTCAACCTCAAATATTGCAACATTTTTTCTTAAGACTAATGGCTTTTCAGACTTGTCCTTAAAGAAATTATTCCGTTGTGCCATCCACATTAGTGGCCACCATTCTTAAATGCAACAGGTACATATTATAAAATCTCTTCTCTCTGCCCTTTTATCATTTATCTTTGGGACATTTCAAACAGCTTCATTAGTTGTCTCCCAATTCTAATGTTTGAAAGAGAGGGAGAAAATCCCTCAGTAAGACGAATACCACTCAGCCTACCAGCCCCACTGCTCCAAATGTCATTTGCTCAAACAAATGACATTTGGAAAAAAACAAGCTTGTGATAGCAACACTGGTAACAGTATGCTTCATTCTCAGGAAATGTTGAATTTGTCTCCTTTCTGGTAGAATTTAATGAAATGCTCTAATTACTACCCTTCCCCCCCCCATGAAATTTGATAAGTTTGTCCCCTAATTTTCATACATATATCAAACTACACTGTGGATAATTTGTGCACAGATGTAAACTATTTTCTCTATGATCACTGTTCCATCAAAGACTGGTCAATTGGTTCTCTTGCGTACTGATTAAAGTGTTTCAGTATTTGACTTTCCAAAAATTCAGTGCAGCCAGGATGACCTCTAGTGGTTAAAAATCATACACACAAGGAACAATAGTAATAAACAAGTTATTTGACTACTTCATACTTTCTATAGAAGTTAAGCATGTAAATAATAAACCAAATCCAATGCCACAGGTTAGATTTTTAAAAGACTGGATTTCTCCTCCCTTTGGTCTTGCCTCTCAGAGGCAAATGAGATCCCACCCACTGAATGCATATTACCCAGTTTTCTGCGGAATGTAGTAGAATGTATGAATTCTCCTTAACAACAGCTTTCATACAGTCAGTTAATATTTAAGTCACAATTAGCATATGTTACACAGCTGAAGAGCTTTGTTCTTTTATGGTACTTATGACCCTCACAGTTCTTATCCTTAAAATATGCTTTAATTTTAATATAAGAAAATCACAATCCATGAACATAACACTAGCTCAGCGGTAGGCAACCTTGGCTCTTTTATGACTTGTGGAAAAGAGCCAAGGTTGCCTACCCCTGCACTAGCTCTTGGCTCTTAAGTTCTAGGGTTAATACATTTCCCTATCAATCTTGCAGCACCTGAGTATTAGCAAGCTTAAAATTGTATGCAGACAAATGAGAACACAGTTGGCATATTTTTTCCCTTTACAAGAACTTTGTTTATATTTTATACTATTTTAAACTATGATGTGAAATCACAGCCTACGGGGAATTCTTGTTTAAAGGAAAAAGCCTGTCCAGGACAAAACTGTATGCAGACTCAAGTAGTTCTTTTATGTGGGCTTCATGTTTATCTAATATGAAAAACAAGTTCCTATTCCCTGCAATATAATTTAGAACATTTTAGTGTCTATAACTATTCAGAAATGACAGACATCAGCAAGTTAAGAAATAATCCTTTAATACAAATTATATGTAAAATTTATTCATTTTTAAATCTTCACAATTTCCAGAACAGTCTTTTTTTTAAAAAAAAAAAAACAATCTTAACTCCCACACTATTACATACATATTGTAACAATGCCATACTAGGCTAGAAAAATTCATATTGCACATTATAGTGAAAAATTCAGCCTGAAATTATGACTTGGCAAATTACCCGAACAATATTTTAGATTTGGCCTTAACACTAATTTTGCAATAGAATGGTAAACTTATTTTTCATGAACTAAACATGGATTTTACAAAATAGAACTGAGAGATTCAAATTTTTCACTTGAAAATTTGAGTTTGGCTCTCTATAATCTCTTCAGTTTTAAGGACTTTAGATCAATTTGTCATGTATCCATCTGAAATTATTACAACACAGGGGTAGAATCAGAAATCAACTTCAAAAATAGTGTAGTATGTAGCTCTCCAGAAATAACTGGATTGCAGTTCCCATCACTCTTCACTATTGGATATGCCGCCTAGACTGATGGGAATTAAAGTCAACAAATCCAACAAATTCCCACTGCTACTCTACAGATACAACTTCATCAATTTCTACGTTTATCCTTATCAAACAGAATTATGTTGATTCAATCACTTGTAGCACTTTTCCTGAGGTACACTTGGTTGTGTTAGTGCCATAAACTTCAAAACTTTGAACTTTAGTAACCTGACTAAAACAAACCTTAAGCTCTTTTGTTTTGTATTTTTAAAAAACCCTACACCTCAAATTATTACTTTACTTTTAAAAAATAAATAATTTAAATTTGGATACTTAACATTTTAGTAGGCACAAACTTTGAAAAGTGGTGTAGCAAAACAACTTGAACAGAAGAGGTTTATCCTCATACACATTAATGCGGTTTTGTTGCAAGAAGTTACATGGCTAGACAACATGATTACAGCAGTAAACCAAATTGCTTTGGCTTGCATTTTTTCCCTTCATACCAAGTGCTTATTATGGTCCATCAAACCCATTCCTCAAACCAAGGAAGCATTAAGAGCTTATTTCCTACATACTCAACTGCTCAAGTCAAAAGCTGATAGATAATAGGGATGGAGTCCACTTTGATAAAGCTGAGAAATCTACTAAGAAAATATAAAGAATGAGATGCCTCTAAACTGGCTTGAATTTTCCTATTTTAAAAGGCCATGATTCTAAAGGAATCTAACCTTCTGAGGACTGGATACTCCTTCTACCAATGCAGCTATTGTTAGGATGTTCAATTCTGTATGATTAGCAGACCTGCCACTTTTACCAACTACACTGTCCTAATACATTTTGGACATACCACAAAAGTGTTGTTTGGCTTCTAAATCAGTACTTAAGTCAAACATTCTAGGGATAATTTTGGAAGGAGGGAAACAATTTAGATCTAGGCTCAGTCACAGAGACTGTTCTGTGGATTCTGATCTGCCTACTTTAAAAAAAATAGCAATTTTGAAACAGGAAAAGAACTTTTAGAGACAAACAAAATCTATTAGGCAAACCCTACTTTGAGATCCCTGAGATTTATTGTTTGCCAAAGAGATTTAGCAAAGCCTAATTATTTGCAATGTTATCTGATTAACTTAAAATGTGATTTATAACACAAAACATACTTTATAGGGAATAAAATTGCATTATGTAGTAAAAAGAATATTTACATGTTGCAGAATATTTAAGTTGTGATCTAAGTTATCTTGCTTCTGATTAGGAATTTAAGCCAACTTTATCCTTTGATGAGAAATAATAGTAATGATGCTTCAGTCTACCGAGAGATAATCCTCAAGAATGTTAAAGCTGTGTTCTATAATTGTAGGAAGGTAGACACTTTTAACTCTCCTAGCCACTGAGAATAATTTGGGGATGTTGGTGGAGAACATGACATATTTTACCCCTCAGAAATACATAAAGCCTGTGGCTACAGACATTTTGGTTTTCGGCCCAACCTTCTTAAAAATGACTCACCAATACAATCACCTTCAGACAAATGAAAACTTGTCAAAATTATTAAAGTTGAAATTAAGGTTTAGAACCTCTTACAGAATTGGTTCCTCTTCATGTCCTCCAAATTAAAAATACTTGTCCAGACTAAAGGTTACGACCATATGTAAAATACTCAGTTCAAAATGAGTCTGAAAAGTATAAAACTCCCAAATGTTCTTTCTGAAGCTAATTAAGTTTCAGAATACAATGAATCTAAAATTACTTTAGGAAAGACTGAATTAAACTCTTCAGTTCTGTTCTAAGTCATAAAGTAACAAGGCACTAATTCCAAAAGCTTGCATATTAGGACTGCATGGAATGTGAATACTTCAATTTTGCATTAATTCAGACTGATTTCTAGGAAAGGCATGAAAGATAAATACAAAACATAAAAACATAGCAAGATTCTTCAAATCAGCAACACAAGGCCACTCAGTGAGCAAAACTGAATGCCTTTTTTTTGCATTTTTTTATCTACCAGAAGGCACATTAAAAGAAAAAAAAAAGAAAAAGAAAAATACCGGTTTCAGAAACTAGTAAACTCCATACACCCTTAGATGTGCAATTCAAATTAAGAACACTGTTTGCAACATCAACCAATATGATGTTAGTCCTGAACATAGTTCTGCAATAGCTTGGTTGGTATGCAAGCTGCATTTCAATTATAATATAGTCAGCAAAATATTTTAGGTAAACCAGAACCTACAGCCATTTTCCTACCTGAGCAATAATTAGTACTATTTATTGCTTGTGAAATCTTTCAGCTTGGCGGAAGCAATTGCACATTCCCTTTTCTTCCTCTGACCACCATTTTTTTTTAAAGAAATATATTTAAATTGCAAGTTCTTTCCCAATGTTCTCTTTTGGTAGACATATAAGTGATAGCAGGGCGCCATTTCAGGTGCAAGCCACTAATGCAACCTTAACTTTAACTATCAGCAATATGAGCTCTGAAGTTTGATGCATGAGATCTTAAGTTTGCATTATGCCATGTTTTACTCCATTTCAGTTACAATAACTGCAGTCTAACATGGAATGCTCTTTTCAACATGAGATCAAACTCTCATTCCAATGAGTGACTAATTAAGCACCTGCATTTGCTGTTAGCCTTGTAGTTCAAGAGGATCATAATCTTTGAATGAGATGTTGTCTTGCATCTTCTTAGGATTATTTCACAGCTATTCAGATCAAACCCACCATCTGATCTATCTGTCTCATATAAATGCTCTTCAAAGGCAGCAGGTATCTTCTCTCATCTGGTACTCGGTTACACTGTAAATAGATATTTTTAAGTTGAAATTGGAGATATTCACATTTTCTAAAGTTCACTTTGGCAAAACCATCTTATCGAAAAAGAATCTACCTAAAAAAGTCAAGACGCTCAAGTACTGCTTGTGATTAGGTTTTGTGTCCAAAACTTACAAAAGTGCAGATATTTTACGTTTTCAGGTTAGAAACCTGCATCTTTAGAAATACATCAGGAAAATAGTCCACAATACTAAAAGGTTTACCTCTGAAACAATACAAAATGAATTATTCTGACTTTCACAAGGAATAAATGTTATTTAACTGAAATGATCTAGAGGAAATAACCAATTCTATATACCTGTACTGCTTATTAGTTATATAGCAATACAGAAAGAAAATAGTTAAACATGGATGTATTTGGTTGAACAGAATATCATCCTGACTAATCTGCTTTATACTTACCCTTGTACAGATATTAATTCTCTCCTGAAAAGTGTATGTGTTCCCCACTTTGCTAAACGAAAATTATATTTAAAAACCAATTAGAAAATAGCTGAATGCACTTTTTTCTACCTACATTAAGATACTAACTTTAGTCAGGGAAAAAATTGCTTTAGCATTTTGAGCACTGTATTGGGAGTCGAACTCCCAAAAAATGTGAAAGAAAAGAATGGTAACTGAAAATTAATTAATGAAAATAAAGAGAGACAGGGAGAAAATATACAGTGCCTCCCTTTCAGTCTTGCAAACTGGAGATTTGCAACTACAGTCCTCAGGATAGGATTGTGTAGCTCAGACTGCCACACCAATTGCCCCATGAACATGAATACTGCAGGTATTTCAAGCAGAAATAATATTGGAAATATTGGAACTATGTACGCTTTAAGAATGTTTCCAAAACAGTACTTCCCCCTTCATGCAAATACTCCTCTTCTTTGCTATTCATTAAAGCAGTCTCTTTTTGCAAATTTCCACAAGTGTGAAAAAATTAGGGTCACTTTAAAAAGAGCAAAAGGCTGCTGTGTATCAGAATCTTAAATAATCTCAAAACATGCACAATGTTGAATTTGTATACTAAAATAATGGAAAACCTGCTTAGGCCAGTAAGCAATATTAATTCATATAACTTACTTAACTGACTTTGGAGAAGTTACACCTTTTTATTTACAAAATCAAGGCAGAATATGTAGCGTTTCCTACAATAACTACCTCGTGAAGTGGGTTAGAATGATTAGCTCCAAGTCAACCAATGAGCTTCTGGTTGATGTCTAACCACTAAACCCCTCTGACTTGAACACCATATATAGTACGGATAAAGATGGAACACTAGGTGATCTACCATCTTGTCTTAATTCTGGGAAGAACTAGGTTTTAAGTATACCCTCACAATTCCATCAATTTGTGATTTTATTATCCTGTTCTTTCTAATCCTAACTCTTTCACACTGTTTCTGCACGATCAATGGCAGAGAGAGAATATATTTAGGCCTATTAAAGGGTTTGTCAGACAACTGCTGTACCAAATTTCTAGATTCAAAGTATGTAAGATACTGGCCTATACTTACATTAGAGATGGAGTTGTTTGCTTTTAGTTCATTTGACTTTATCTTTCCAGGTTTCTTCTGCTCCTCAGGGGAGGTATTCTGCCCTACTGAAACACGAAGGCGCTTATCCAGTGATACTATGTGTCCTTCTGTGGTAAACATGTACTTATTGCCTGATTTGTGCACAGGATTTTCTTCATCAAATAGCTGAAATTTAAGAATTTCAGAATGTATAAATGTAATACCCCAAGTGTGGCAATAATATTATTTATTTTTCAATATTTATATCTCACTTCACTCCAGAGACTGTAGGAGATCAAAACCTCATAAATGCAATAACAACAACAACACTGGAGTTAAAAAACAATACACAAAATGGCTCTTTAGCTCCAAATGCTCTTTCAAAGATTTTTGGGTTGCTCTGTGAAAAGATAGGGCTGCAGATGCAGTGCATAATACAGGAGCCAGCATATTCCCCAGGGAGAGAGAAGGTACTGAAACTACTCATTTTCAAAGCCACTTCCTGCTCTCAATTTGTTACAACCAGCTGTTTTCTAGGCAAACAAGCAGTTTGTGCTGTTATTGGGTTTCCACTCCAGCATGGTTTGTCCCATCCAGAGCTTTACAGCCTCTGAGGCCGAATAACCTTAGCAACTCCTGTTAAGCTTAAAAGTAGATATAGGTATCTTCATATTCATGGGACCTCACCCCCAAATAAAGAGTTTACTTTTCCCAGAGGTTTTATAAAAACATTAACCCTAGAGATAGTGTTAATATTGGGTCAAGTATTATGGAGTAATCTAAAAAAGTAGATATACACTATTACTCGATGTATATTCTTTATGAGTATGTTGTAGCATTATCATATTATTATTGCTAGTGTAATTCTAAGTCAAGTAATTCAGGCAGAATCTTGTGAGGTGACCAGGTTTCAAGGAACCTGATGAAGAGAATTCTCCACTGTGATCTCAGCCACTTGGATCCTTGTTTTTTTCAGGCAGCAAAGATGTTGTGATTGCTGGATTTGTTAGAAGGTATGCCCATATTTGAAGAGTCATCTCTCTATTCAACCATGTCAACCTTCCCTTTTTAGGAAAGGTTTTAGAGAAAATGAGTAGAGGGCAGGTATTGAGGTAGAAAACAAATTATCTGGATCCTCTGCAATTGGGATACAGTTTCAGATATGGGATGCACAGGGCATTGATCAGTTGTATAGTTCACTGGTTGTTGAATGGAGGGACTATACATCAAGAAACAGTGTACATCACAGCCAAGTTCCCTTAAAGTATTTACGATGGACATTCTTGGTTTACCATCTTAATAACAACATATTTAAAATACACAGAAGTATTAAACTTTATTTTACTACAACAAAAATATGTTACAACTTGCAGTTCTAGTAAATAAAATGTGATTTAAAGAAAAAGTGCTTCTATAAAGATACATACCAAAAACAAATATTTACATGTTTCACTGAGAAAAAAACTTTCCATCCGATCTTCTTTGGATTTCTCTATAACATGGTGAAGAGTAGCATAACCACATCTGAAAAACAGAATTGAATTTTTTCATCTCTTTCAATCATAATTTTAAACATAGCAAAAGTCTAAGGAATTAAGCTGGTCATTTTATGAAGGACTTGCAATTTGAATGGAACAGCTTTTCCCAGTTACCTCTGAATCTATAATTTTACAAAGTCGACTTGAGATTCAACAGCAACAAAGAAAAGAAACAGAATTATTGCCTCTTTTGAGAATAAAGATATTGCAACAACTGAAACATCTTTTTGTTTCTCCCAGAAATCCAACTGTATATGGCAGCAACACTTTCTAGCCAAGTTGGGAAAAAAATGAACAAAAATCTCACAAAACTTCATATTCTCTGGTGAAATGTAGGCATCAGAAATAGCTGTAAACAACTCTAATAGTTCAGGAACCCAGTGTAGGGACGCACTGTTTGCTAGATTTATATGTTATATTCAACAAAATTTAAAAAAGGAAGATTTCCTATGAGGTGAAGATCAGAACTGAAAAAAATGGTTTACGTACTGTATGACTAAAATATTTCTTCTTCAAACACAAAAGCTTTCAAATTAAACTTTTCATGGAACTCTCCTCAGCTTCAAAAGCAATTAACAACAATAGCCTACTCAGCCATGTGAACTACTTATAGCCAGAGTTATTTCCAATGGCCCAAAGTTAGCCACAAAGTTAGAGCTGGAAAATTGAATCAATACAACTGATCTATTCTATACATTCAAGTTGACTCAGGAATGTTGATTAGACAAAACAAAATACAATCAATCAATCAATAATTGAATAGCTAGATGATTAGAATTATTTGAAAACACACTTCCAAGCACTATTAGTGTTTCTAATAAAACACTTATGAAATTCTACATATTCACTCAACATTAAATTAATAGGACTTATCTTATGTAAGCACAAATGGGATTTCAACCTCAATTTTTAGGTCAACATTAAGAAGGCATATATGTTTGAATTATATCACAGCAACACAGTTCAGTTTTGTATGGATTTAGTAATTTATAATGAAAACTTACTTTGCTTTAGTATATTTCTCCAGACTCTGAAGAATATCCATTCCTACATGAAGATAAAAAGGGTTCCTTGTGGCCTAATGAAAGAAAGGAAATAAATGTAAGAAACAGTGCTATATAACAGTAACATTAAAAAACAAAAGAAACTGAAGCTTGATTTTGGCGTGCAAGAGCAAGCTATCTGAACTAACGCAATCGAGGCCAGAACTGAATATCACCAAATGATTCGAAGTGCAGACTGTTCAAAGAAGCTGAAAAAACAATAGAATACATTCAGCTTGTGCAAGAAAATTGCACAAACTGATTATAAACAATATCATAACATGGCCTCCAAAATGATTCACTGGAACATCTTTGGCAAAAGAACGCTACCCACTTCCAACCCTTTCAGTTCAAGGGCGTTCAAAAGGATACAGTGGTATCAAAAACCACTGAAAAGTCTAAAAGGATCAGGAGAGTTGCATTCACACTGCCCTAGTCCAACTAAAGTTAATGAAAAGAATACGGTTTCAGCTTCACATCCATGCCTGAATCTCAACTAAAAATAATCCATCTTATTTTTTTTTTTTTTTAAAAAAAAAGCAGCTGAGAACCAATTCTAAAATGTGCAAAAAGTCACATCTCAGCAGAAAAAAATAAGCCAGACTTTTATATCTAATGAAGGACTTACTATGTTTCAAAATCATACTTTAGAAAAAAAAAGTTAAATACCTGATACAGGAGATATGTAGATTCTACTAATTCAGGCCTCAGAGGATAAAAGAGAACATCGGGTGCTTGTAACTGCCAATTGTATCTCTCTGGAAGAGCACCATATCGTTTCCATATTGCATAATAAAATGCATGAAGGCAAATGGCATCTTCTACATCACCTATTAAAACCTGAAGCAAAATGACAAAAATAAAATTTTCTACATTAAATAGTTGCTGATTTTATTAAGATGGAATGCACAATACTCTTGTGAGTCAGAAATTATCTCATCCTAAAACAAGAAAACACCACTATACCCATCAGACACTTTGAGACATCCACTATGCTGTTTTCTTTATGCAAATAAACAAAGCAATAACATGATTTAGTTGCATTGGTGGGAGCATCCCCAAAGTTAAAGAATTTGGTGGGACATTCTCCAGGGACAACTAGGACTTTGAAGTAGTAGGTAAGGAAATGGGCTTCTGATTCTCTTCCCCACACAAGCTTTTAGTTTGTTCTAATCAATCCCTAGACATTTCCATACCAATTGGAAATTCCTGATGTACTACCATACATATATTTCAAATTTCCTATTTTCTCTCCACCACAGAAAGAATACCTGAAGTCCAGGAAAAAAAGCTTGAAGAGAATCAATCCAGGTGTTCATTAGTTGGCCACTAAACATATTAACATTAACGTAAAGAGGTGGGTCTCCTTCACCTTCATTGCAGGCTTCCCTCCTGTGAAAAATGTGCAATATTTCATATTAATATTTGAGGGCAAGCAAGGAACAATTATTTGAATTACCCGTAACTTTAGTTCCTATGATCAAATGGCGCGCAATCTTTACAAATAACATTACCCAAATATCACCCAGGAGGAATGAGAGACCTCGTTTCATTGTAAGTGCTAACTTTTATCTTCATCTTTATGTTTTATTATTTTGATTGTAATTTCTTTGATTTGTGTGAGCCACCCAGAATTATTGACAGTCAGGTGGCAGGCAAGTTAAATTACTATTATTGTGATTAGTGTAATAAATAGTCCTAACAGGTATTAAATTTCCATTCTGAAAACTGGGTAACTGGACATCAACCCAGGGCACTATATCAACAAGCATACATATACAATAGTTTGAAGAAGTGATCAAATGGTATTTCTTTTAATTCTGTACCACTCAATGCAAGGATATCAAAAATTGTAATAAATATTGAGCATCATTAAAATCAAAGTTTATGTTGCATTACATATACAGTATAATAGTATCCAGTACTGTTCCAACCCCAGAGATGTACCTTAACTGTAACTTGATATAGGGCAAAAAATTATTGGGAATTAAAAGCCCAACAAACATTAGTACACTTACTAAATATTATAAGTACCCTTATTAGTACAATACCTAAGTATATAGATAGTATGGACAATTTTATCTGACTGGGGGCTATATTTTATTACATGTGTAATGTAATATGTCTATGAAAACTGTAGGGAAGTAATGTCAATGAGAGGCAAGAGCAAAAAAATATGGTTTGGAAGGAAAAGTTAACACACAATTTTTTTAAAAAAATATTCTAAAATATATACATTTTCTTCAGAAACCAAAACTAAAGTAATATACAAATAATGCTCGAGTTAGCACAGCAATTGGGACCAGGATTTTCATTGCTAAGCAATATAATAAACCTCAACGTCTTGTGATTGCATCACTTTGAGACAGCAATCCTGGCATAACTAGCCCAATTCTACCAGTCATGAGCTGAGGGCCCACCCCAATCCAAGCCGTCCCTGGCTTGATCCCTCCCAACCTGAACTTTGGTTCTTACAAGTTGAGGGACTGCCTCCCCTGCAATGCCCTCAACTGCCTCTCCTCCCCACTACAACCACCATCACCATTTGCAAGAGGGCAAACTGGTCCAGAATCACATGGCTCTTGGGCTGAAGCTCAGTGGTTTCTTGGCTCCTGCCAGAAGCCTCTGAGCCACCTGAAACTGCAGCTGCACCAACCTAGCCAAGCAGCATGACATGCAACTGCAGACAACTCAGTCTGGTTCAGCGTAACATGGTTTAAAGCTGCAGCCACCTCAAGAAGCCCCAGCTGGCCCAGCTACAGCCACCCACACCATTCCAAGTTCCCGGCTGCCTTGTACTCCACCACTCCAGTTGACCTTTGCCAGCTTTTTATTCCTGCTCCTGCTGGGATATCCCCAATCTGGCCCTTAATGAGGCAGTGGTAGGTCATGAGGTCTTTTTCCTGAGATCTGTTGAGGAAACCACCATGTACAACCTCAAGAAGAAAGCCTTTGGTGGCCAGCAGCTGCCTTGCAAAAGATCATGATGGCCATTTTGTCAATAGTGGGAGCAAGAAGATGACAAAGATCAGTGGGGTCAGAAGAGTACAGGGTGGCAGGGGGCACAGATTGTTGCGACCAAAAAGGCACAGATGGGAAGATGGACAGGTGAGCTGAGTTGAAGCACTTTTGTGGTTGTCAAGTGTGGGCAGCTGCCAAGCACCTAAATTTTGATCATGTGAACACTGGAATGCTTAAAACATCTATTATTTTGGAGACTAGATATAAGTACCATTCAGTCAATATCACTGTAGCTTTGGTCATTGAACAAAAGGTTAACTTAAGGACTATCTATAACATAAAGGAATCAACCCATTTCATATTTTCTGTCACTCAGTAGTGACTTATTTATTGCCTTCAAATCATTATTGTTGGCTCTTAGTAACTTGACTAATCCTCACAGTTCTCTTGGTACAATTTTTGCATGTTGTTTGCGATTATCTTCTTCCAAAGGTGAGTGACTAGCTCAAAGCCACCCAGTTGGGTTCTCACCTAAGGCAGGACAAGAATGCATGGTCTACCAGTTTCTAGTCTGATGCCTTACCCCCTGCATCAAACTGGCTGTCTAAACAGTGTTTTAATAACTTAAAAATAGCATAATTCACATACCCTCGCCTTAAGTGGTTCTGAATACTCCGATAAGCATCACTGAACATCTCTAAATCTTCTTTTTCTCCAAAGAGGATGTACGATTTCAAAAGATACTCATAGAAGGAATCTAACCCTGCTCCTAAGCCACTTTGTTTTCCTACCCAATGACCAGTTTGAATATTCACGACATTACCTATGAAGTAAGAGAAAAGCAAATATTATTTAAATGTAAATGCACATATCTGAATCATAATCCAGTTAAACAAGTCTCAAGGGAGCATAAAAAGACAATTCTCATGTGGCATACTGCTAGTTGAATGAGTCTGTATTTAAGAGAAAAAAAACCACTCTCACTGTTTCACGTTTCTTATTTTCTAGATGTCATGCCTCCATCAGAGCCTGACTCCGAGGAAGACATGGAGTTCTCTGTTGAGGCCCAGGAGGGGGAGTCTGTTGCTTCGGAGGACTGTAGGGAGGAGCAGGCTGAGGCAGGCCAGGGCCCTTCAGGTTTGGAACAGGGAAGGCAGAGTTCAGGAGAGGAGCAAGCCCCCCCCCCACCTGATCCTAGAGCAAGGAGAGCAGAGAGGAGGAGAGAACAAGGGAGGCAGGCTCACTTGCTCGGGAGGAGAGCGTCCTGCCCCACTCCACAAGGCACACCTGGGGGTTAGGATTTAAGGAGACACTATGGGGTGGGGCATTTGCCGGGAACAAACGTGGGATCTTGAGATTGTTGTGACTTGTGCTCTTGTAACCTGAACACTTTGTATTCTGGACCAGTTTATTTCCTGCTTCACGACCACAGACTACATTCCTGCTCTCTCCTTGCAGTCTGCAGTTTGCAGTTCACAGGCAAGCTGAGAGTTAAAAGGACTCTTTACATTTTCTTGTCATCTGCCTTGCCTTGAGAACAATGTAAACTTCCTTGGCTGTATTGTTTGAACTCGTGTCAGCATATGTTGGGAGCTTTTGGGTGAACATTGGTAGTGATTAAAAGACTGTTGCTCTTGCCAGCCGACTGTTTTGCCTCTGTTCGGGGCCCTGGGTCATCACACTAGATGTAGTTTAAGTAGAAAGAGGATTTCCTACCCTGAGTATTTCTAAAAGTAATTATATTTTTATTGCCATCGAAGATCAGAACATAATAAAATTCAACAGTATAAATCAGGTTACACATATATGAAAAAGTACAAATCATACTCTGTAATAAATCCTTTACTTTGAAGTATCATATTGAAGATTTGTTAGCATTAACAAACTCTGAATCCAAGACAAGTAGGTTGAGCATATTTTTCGTTTTCATTGAATTTTCTGCTACTTAATCACTCAGTATTCAAATGTATTCAAAAGCATATATTCTAACAAGGATTCTTTCTGAATTCAAATTTCCAACAAAAACAGAGAAATCTTAAAATTTGTAGGCTTTAGCATAAGGTATAAAAATTAATTTTGAAGTATATTTACTTACATATAACTTTTACTTATGCTTCTCAACAAAAGTCAAATAAGAGAAAGAAGTTGACTCATTTGACTTGTTTTTCAGCTGTGCTGTTTTAAAATATCCAATACTGCAATATGAACTTATATTTTTCAATGTCCACACAACATATGAACTGTATCTAAATGTAAACATTTTATCTTACCTTTGTAAATAATGGATACTCATCTAATTTTTCTAGAAAAGATTAGACTCATAAAAAGATTCAGTCTTAATAACCATATTGGCTCACAATTCAAACAAGTACACATACATGTTCTATAAATCCACAAATATACTTCTGTAATGTTCCAGAAATGGTTGCAACAGTATCAGTATTTTTACTATTCTGGAGCTTTAAAAAAAGAAGAGTGCATGCTGGATTTTAGGTATTTCTAAATTACTCTCAAATACAGCACCAAAACTCCTCAAATAAATGGAAAATACAAATCACAGGAATGAACTTGTTCCACTTGATTAGATGTTCCATTTGATTAGAACTATTTGCAACCTAATATAAATGATAAGAGTAAGGAGAGCACATGCTGTAATGGTTAAACATTCCCAAATAACTGGAAATGTCTAGAGATCTAGTTAATTCAATGGTGAAGGATTCCATTCTCATAACAATATGAATTCAGAGGATCAGCTATCAGAACAAGAATACAAACCAAAAAAATTATATCCAGGAGAAAAAGGTAAGTACCTAATAATCCAGTGTCATTGCTCCTTAAGTTCCAAAGGGCTTTTACAGCTCGACGGGCAACCCACTCAAAAGTTGAATCCCCGAGAAGCCGACTAAGAATTCCAAATTCCACCAGTAATGATCCAGCCCCTGCAGTGCAAGTCTCATTATTGCTTCCAGAAGGAACTCCTGTCCTTAAGTTCACCTGCAAAGTTGACGGTTTATAAGCAAGCTTACTAAGGAATAAGCAGTTCTATTACTCTTTTGCAATTTCAAAATTAGTGACAGAGGTTTCATCAGTGCTCTGTCACAAACTTGCATCATATTCCACAGGGAAATGATCTTAAAGGGATATCTAGAGTATGTCAGTATTTCGCCATGAAGAAACCAGAACTCTGTAATCTTTGAGGAAACAAGAGTTCATTCAGCATATCTACTACAGAATCTGCTTTCCAAAATATATTTTAAAAAATGGCAGTGGCATATTCAGCTCAAGCTTGTAGATACGCTAAGAAGAAAAAGTATACACAGAGAACATTTTTAAAGACAAAGTTAAATTCCAATATTTAACACATTACACCTTGGGTTAAAAGACTGAATTTCCTTTGCCTGAAAATTGGCAATTGTTCTATACATACCCTTGGATAAGGAATTCCAGTTTTGGTATTCTCAAAAGCAGGTAATAACCTTACTGCCAAGTCATGAGCCATATGCAACAGTTCGTCGTCATATCCCTTAATAGTCATATCACCAAAAGGCTGTCTGGCATCTGTAATTATTATGTGGGCTGAAAGCAGGCTTCCCAAAACCCTAAAAGAAATTATATTAGTTATTATTTTAAATGAGACAATATATGTGTATATTATAGCAACAGAAATAACAGAATTATGATCACACATATTAGCAGTAAGACAAAGTATATACAGTCTACGTATCAGTAGATCTCAAAGCAGCAATAAGATTTTCTTAAAAGGCAGAAAAGCATAATAAAGCAATAGAAACAACCAAAAGGTTCTCCAACTTCTGAAGGAGCATCAACAAATCAAGAATCTCCTAGAAAGATAATGTTTGACAGAACTGGCTCTAACTTGTCGGAACAATTAAATCTCCCATTGCTACAAAAGACACCTTTTTGAAAGAACTGCAAGTTGGTTTTGAAAGAACTCACTTCTTCTTGGATGGGAAAATGATAAGAGACAATACAGTATTGCTTTTATTTGTTCCTCTTATTTGTAATGTAAATGCTCTTGACAGCATTACATGTTCATTAATGCATATTTCCAAGAATCAATATTTTTATCATACAGTGCAATTTCTCTCCCCTTTTATTATTTTGTCTTACAAATTGTACCATTCACAGTTCACGCCTTCTGAGTCCATGTTCTTTTTTACTTTACCTTTTTTTGTGGGAAACGACATTTAAAAATGACAGTTCAGCTTCCAATTTCTGTAATATAAAAGTATTTATCTGTGGTGCATATCTCAGGGTTTCTACTTCTATCCTTACAGGATTCAGTTTAAAGCCTTCCTTATAAACCTAGCCCAGATATTATTTCACCTACAAGAATTTTTCTCCAGTTTCCTTATCACCTTTTTGAAGGTAAGAATTATATTCCCCTTGCTCATTCTCCAAGATTTCTCAAAGATTACGTAAAGGTTCAGGCAGAATATCAGCAAGGTTCTTCAGTTTAGGAATACAATTCATGCATTCTTGGAGATTTAAATCCATTCAAAACAAGTTTAAGTGTTTCTTAATCATAAAGTTGACTTTGTCCCTTAATCCTGCATTTCATAGTTGCCGGGTAGAACCATCTTATTGGAGAACACTCAGCCAAATAGGACAGCAACACTTTGTTACGATTGAAAGAACTAGTCTTATATTATAATTTATAAATTATTAATTATAATCCCAAATTATTAAACTATATGAATTGCTTTACATTTATCATCATTTTATGACACTGATAATGTGAATCTCATCAGTTAGACAGCAGGCAGAATTAATAATAGTAGTAGTAGTAGTAGTAGTAGTAGTAGTAGTAGTAGTAGTAGTAAAATTGGAAGGGACCTTGGAGGTCATCTAGTCCAACCCCCTGCTCAGGCAGGAAACCCTATACCATTTTGGACAAATGGCTGTCCAGTCTCTTCTTAAAAACTTCCAGTGTTGGAGCATTTACCGCTTCTGGAGGCAGGCTGTTCCACTGATTAATTGTTCTCACTGTCAGGAAGTTTTTCCTTAGTTCTTGGTTGCTTCTCTCTTTGGTTAGTTTCCACCTGTTGCTCCTTGTCCTGCCTTCAGGCGCTTTGGAAAATAGCTTGACTCCCTCTTCTTTGTGGTAGCCCCTGAGATATTTGAATACTGCTATCATGTCCCCCCTTGTCCTTCTCTTCGTTAAACTAGACATACCCAATTCCAGCAACCGTTCCTTATATGTTTTAGCCTCCAGTCCCCTAATCATCTTTGTTGCTCTTCTCTGTACTCTTTCTAGAGTCTCAACATCTTTTTTACATCATGGTGACCAAAACTGGATGCAGTATTCCAAGTGTGGCCTTACCAAGGCATTGTAAAGTGGTATTAAGACTTCACGTGATCTTGATTCTATCCCTCTGTTAATGCAGCCTAGCACTGTGTTGGCCTTTTTGGCAGTTGCAGCACACTGCTGGCTCATATTTAGGTGATTGTCTACTAGGACTCCGAAGTCCCTCTCACAATTACTACTATTGAGCAAGGTGGCACTATGCTGTACTTGTGCGTTTGGTTTTTGTTGCCTAAATGTAGAACCTTGCTTTTTTCACCATTGAATTTCATTTTGTTAGATAGTGCCCAGTGTTCAAGTCTGTCCAGATCCTTCTGTATCTTAAGCCTGTCTTCTGGAGTGTTGGCTATTTCTGCCAGCTTGGTGTCATCTGCAAATTTGATGAGTTCCCTATCTATCCCTTCGTCCAAATCATTGATGAAGATGTTGAAGAGCACTGGGCCCAGAACAGAGCCCTGGGGCACCCCACTACACACTTCCCTCCATGTAGAAATTTTATTTCAGAGTTCCTTGAATGTATTATTCACATTCAGTGCTGTCAAATTTCAGCAACATCCTACCTAATTGTTGCCTCAAAGACCTGGACAGTTGAATCTGTGTCAAATGTTACTGTGTCTATCACAAGCTTCACTGCTTTCCGAAATTCTGAAGAATTTCCCATTACCTTTAAGAAAAACAAAAAGGAAGATCTGAAAAAAAACTCCACATATCTTTATACCAAATTTTTTGTTCAATTTGAAAAATAAACTTAAATATCTGCAATTAAAATTCACATCTTATGACCACAAGCCCAGAATTTTGGTTGTTAAGTCACCACATGATAGGACTCTATTTTACGGTGGCAATAAAAGGAATCACATGACAATTAAGCAAATTCCAGGATTAAGCAACCATGGGGTACTAAATCCTAATCCAGCTTTATCCAACAGATTGTTTTTAGGTGGACAATGACACCTAAATGGGATGTTGTAACCAGTCATAAATGTGAGCTGGTTGTGAAGCGCTTAGAATGCATTCATATAGCTCTGTGTGTGGGGGGGAGAGGGGTGTGATGCAGCAGTTGTAACTTCAAGGATGTATCATGAATAACTTTTTCGTTTCCACCATAACTTTGAATGGTCATTAAACAACCAGTCATAAGTCGAGGACAATCTATATTTCTATTATCAAGATTTTCTACCAAGTCTTTTATGATATTGTTATAGATAATAGTGGACCCACTGGATTAAAACAAAATAACAGAGGAATCAAGTGTTAATTTACAAAAACTGTTTTGTTTCACTTTTAACTAGTGACAAAGAGAAGGGCAGAGCGAAACAGACAGAGAGGGAGGGAAAGAAAGCAAGATTAAATGCATAACATATTTCTAAAAAAATTAATAACATGCTAAAATATTTAGTTATAGGCACACAGCTAGAACAGACTCTGCTTACTAGCAACATTGAGGTTTAAAAAATCAAATTATCAGCTTGCAATAAAATTAATGATTTCAATATGATTTAATTGAAGAGCTGGACAAATCTGTCAATATCAATTCACTTTCCCAGTTTAAGTGCTACCCCTATTCAATTTCTGCATCATTATGCTTTTTTTTTAAAAAAAAGTCCACATCTACAAAAATTATGCAGTTATAAACATTTGCCCTAAAATATGAACTTTGTGTAATATTTTTCCTAATGTTTCTATAAGCAACATTACCTTTAATAATTAAATGTTTTTTCTTATTTGTGGTTTTATTCCAGCCAAAGAACCACAGATAATGAACCCTGAAGAAATTTATTTTATATATAGTACATGCAAAGCCTTTCTGTCATTTTTCAGAATTATGTAATAGAGTTGGAAGGGACCTTGAACGTCTTCTAGTCCAACTCTCTCTTTAAGCAGGAGACCCTAATCAATTCTGGACAAATGGCTGTCCAATCTCTTCTTTAAAACCTCCAACTTCTGGAGGCAAGCTGTTCCACTGATTAATTGTTTTTACTGCTAAGAAATTTCTCCTTAATTCTAGGTTGAACTTCTCTTTGATAAAGTTCCCATCCATTACTTCCTCTCCTGCCCTCAGATGCTTTGGAGAATAGGTTGACTCCTTCTTCTCTGTTAACAGTCCCTCAAATATTGGAAGATTGTTACAAAAAACAAGCAAAACTCCAGGTAACTGAAAACTTTTACCACAATTTCCAAAATATGGTGTCTTTTTAGCAATCATAGATAAACAAAGTCATAGGGCATGGAATCACAAATACCAAGAGCCACCTGCATAGTTTTGCTGTTACAACTACATATTTCTTTATTATAAATATTGTAGTATATATTTTTGTTCATATAGCTCCATCACAAATCTATTAATGTAAAATACTAAATGTGGCTTCTAGTTTGATAAATATAAACTGATTAGCTTTACCTTAAAATATGAACTGAAATAACTTCTCCTCTACCACTGCTATCAAGGAACGTAAGATAACATGGGGTAGAAAAATAATATAGTAAAGTATAAAACTACCTAATAATAAGAACAGTACCTCTGTGCCAAGTCTATTGAGATTATCAGTCATTCAGGTCATAGTTATCCCAAAGGTGCTTTTTCACAAGGTAACTGGACTTTCTTGTTTTTCTTTGAAGAGCTGAAGAAGCTTCTTGGATGAGAAGCGAAACATCTTTAAAGAAAAATAAGAAAGTCCAATTGCCTTGTGAAAAAAGCACCTTTGAGACTCTGTGCCAAAACTTTTTAATTGTAAATATTTGTGGTTGCTACAAACTTCTCCACTCCTTAAATCTGTGGCATGCAGAAAAGAATCTCTTCTTGCTTAAGCCTACTTCCCAAGCCAAACATGAATGAACAACAAAAAAACCCCGCCCCCTATTACAGGCTAAAGAAAGGGATCTTTTCATAACCTTGCAAGATCAGGATTGTTATCAATATTGGCCCAAAAAAATCTTCTTTAGCCATGACTAGTTTTAAAAAATATATTGAGATTATAAAACTGAGGAATTAGGCCCTGCATTAATGATGTTTTTGTGAAATTTGATATATATTTTTCTGATAGCACTTGTTTTTCCTTTCAGCAATTAAAAAAATAGATTTAACTCACTGCTAGGGTATCCAATGCATCAATCAGAGTAAGCGAGTAGTTTCCCAGGACATCATTGATATTCAGATTTGAACTGAAATAAATTTCATTAGAGTTAGTTCAATCAGATTTAAAAAGACTTAATTCGCTTAGGTAAATTTTAAGTGATATAGCCTAATTCCAGGCACCATTAACTGGAAAAACATCCCAAAGAATTATAAGGGAAATATTCTTAGATAAGGGCATAAAAGATTACAGTTGCAGCTACATAGCTTAAACTTAACATCAACACTTTCATAGCTTATTATTTATTTATTTGATTTTTATCCCACCTTTATTTATTTTGTAAATAAAGTATGTTTGGAATTGTATATTCATGAAACTTTGAGACCAAAATAGCTGGGACTTATTTCCACTGAAGTTTTAATTATAATTAAAAGTAGTATTCAAGTGAATTAAAGCAGATTCAGCCAGGCTGATTTTAGAAACTGAATATTAGTGATATTTTAAATAATAATCTATTATTTATGTCACAACTAATGTAGCCCAGTATATTAAGTATTGAACTCTATACAAGGTGATTTTAGCTAAATGACTTATGGAAAAAGTGGATTCAAATTTGACTCATCTTAAAGCACAGAGCTATTATCCATAAAGCATCTTTTTGCTGTAGCATTATCTGAAGCAACAAGCCATTGCTCAACTTTTATTTTAAAATAAAGAGTTCCTTTTAAAATGCATGCTAAGCTCCTCTAAACCTGGAGATTTGTTTTTCTCTACAAACTGACCTAAGACTTTTTGCATACTGTTCTTAACTAAGCCCCATATTATATATAGCACATTGCATGATTTTAGAAAATATGAAATACTTATGTAATTGCTCAAGCTTGGAGCAGGGGCAGGAAGTGCTATAAATGACAGAAAAAAAGCTGTTGTCCCTGGTAAATAAATTTTATAAAGTAAAAATTGCTGTAAATACCATACAAACCTGATATCAATTTTTTTTTGCAAAAAGCCTCATTTATTACTTTAATACAGCAAACACTTTCTTTTTAGAATATTAATGATTAGAAATAACTATTCTGCAGAAAAATATCTATAGACAACGCTATGTAGAGATCATAGTTAAATGTTCTCTTTTTCAAGAAATGGAACTTACTTCCATGGGTTTAACCAAATGGTCTATAATTAATTATAGAGGTCTACCTATGATGAAAACAATGGAGATACAGTTAATCAGTGATAATTCTATGAAAAAATATAGAAAGAACATCTGCCCTAAAAAAACAACAGACATCCAAGAACTGGGGATTTTATACATACATAGAAAAAATAACCAAAATGGCAGTTTGCTATTTAGAAAATTTTAGTATTTATTGTTTCATTATTCTAATAACATAAGACCAGAAACACTGTTAAAAGATACGTCAACATTATATAAACCTAATCTGTGAAAATTTGAGATTACACAAATATTTCCCTATTCAGCATATATCATTGTTAACACTGCTAACATTGGATGTTCTTGCTTTGACAACATATGAAGATGCAGCCTTTTTCTTTCTTATGCTTTACTTTTAGAATTAGATGATGCTGGGGAAGGAGGCAGAATGTGGTGGGAGTTACCGTATTTTCCGGCGTATAAGACGACTTTCTAAACCATGAAAATCTTCTCAAAAGTCAGGGGTCGTCTTATACGCCCAGTTGTCTTATATGCCAGAAAATACGGGTATTCTATTTTATTCCTTTACACATGTGGTTTGGCTTTCTCTCCCCCCCCCCTCGCTCAAAAAGAGTCCTAGGGTTATCATTATTAAAACCAATCGATCAACTAAAGGTATCTCTTTCCGGCCTCTATACTGGGAGTACGATAGGCATTATCTGGCTGTCATGACGGTAAGATTTCCTGGAGGTTTATTCCTCATTCTATAATACTACATTGCATACCGCCTCCTTCTCTCTTCTTCCCTCTCCTTCGACATCCCAATCCCTTGCCCACCCCTCCAGAACTGTGGATTGGTAGTGGCCGCCCCGTGATTAATTCATTCGAATGAAGTAGAAAGAGATGGCCCATGTAATGGGGAAGGGGGGGAAAAGAGTTGTAGGATGGGTTTTTTTTAATAATGAAAACAAACCTAAGCATCTGCGTCCATTCGAGGCACTTCTCAACACTTCTTCCGCCATCATCCCGGGCCTTTTTGGCGTTGACCTCTCACCCCCGGTGGGAGTAGCTTGGGGGAGGTGGAGCTTTAAAGGAGGCGGGGCAGTAGGAGATGCTCATGGGGGGGATGCAGTGGCAGCTCATACTGAGCGTGCGACCGGCGGCTGCGGAGGTGGGCAGGCAGGCGGCGGCGCAAGGCGTTCCCTCTTTCCTCGTGCCCCACATGGTAGGGAGGAAGGAGGAGGCTATGAGTCTGGAAGGGGAGGTAGGGGTGTCAGCTAAATTCCTCTTGGATTTACGAAGCAGGAATGGAGGGGGGGACAGAAAACAGCTACACGGTCCTTTCGCCCGTCAACTTCCACCGAGCTTATGCCAGCGGTTTCCCCCCACCTAAATAAACTTGCATGGTGCATTTGTGGTGTTATTTATGACAGATCCTGGCTGGTCAATCTGGCTCCCGTCAATAAGTACTGTAGTGCACTGAGTTTTAATAACAAATTAAAAGGAAAGCCGAAATTAAAAGGAAAGCATTTACTTCCCCCCCATTACCTGAAAAGGGGGCAACTTATCACATTTGTGGAAATGCAAGTTTTCGAAGGGCGAATGCCTTTCTTACTCGGTTTATTAACTTTAAGCTTCCTTTCCTTCCTCCCTAAACATTCTGGCTGTCGCCAATTTCATTCTTGGAGGTGTTGCTTTAAAAAACTGCTGAGAAGTCCTTTTGCAGGCAGGGCAATTTTCATCAAGGTGTGTGTGCGATTGACAAGGCAGAGCCCCGAAGTTTCCCAGCTTACAAACAGGCAGGCTTTCTGCTCGCTCCCAGCTCCATATCCCAATCTGTCGTTTCAAACGGGGGGAGCTTTGCAAGTACATCCCACCAAACTCGGGGGGGGGGAGCTCGGCTCGGGGAGGCTGTGGAGGATTTGTGGGGTGGAAGACCGAGAGGAGGAGATCCCGTCTCCGGAGATCTAGGTACGCAGTCTGTTTGCTCCAAGCTGGAGCTCGCTACCGGGGGAGGCAACAGAAGGGACCCGCTCGCTCCTTCTCTTCCTCCTTCATCTCGCCCTGCAGCCGCTGCTCACAAAGGTCGCGAAGGCATCGTCAGCCGCCACCGTCCCCATGGCTCGCTCTAGCGGGCATGTGGTTTGCAGCTGCTTTTTGCTGACTTGAAGTCACAGGCTGGTAAATGTTCACCCTGGGAAATTAGCGACAAAACTCGATCTGTCTCCCTGCTGCTTTGCACTTTTGGAGCTGCAAATCGGGGTGGGGGGGAAGGATTGGAGGGAGAGGGAGGAGGGAAAGGAGGCGTGTGTGTGTGCATGTCATAAGCATTTTAATTAAAATTACGGTACCATATTGAAATCAAATCTGATGTTTTTTAATTTTTATTTGGTGTGCGTTGGAAGAGGGATAGTCTTATACGGCGAGTATAGCCCAAACTCTATATTTTAACTGGAAAAGTGGGGGTCATCTTATATGCCCAGTCATCTTATACGTCGGAAAATACAGTAGTTAGACATTGTATTAGTGTGTGAATTCAGACCTTGAAATAAGAGATGATAAGAAGGGGCGTTGTCTTACCTGAACGCCTTTTCTCAGCAGGATGATGTAGAGTCCAATGGATGGGTTCTATGACAGCCTTCCTGCCCGGCAGACTGGGTAAAAACTTTGGCCACACCCCTTCCTTTGGGCGTGACCCCAGTTTTGACTTAGGCGAGAAACTTTGTTGGAATTGATATTGCAGCTCTTTCTTATATACCTGCCTAGACCTAACCCCTGGGTGGGCTTGGACTCTACATCATCCTGCTGAGAAAAGGCGTTCAGGTAAGACAACGCCCCTTCTCCAGCAGGATGACTGTAGAGTCCAATGGATGGGACATACCAAAGCCCTCATGTCCCCCTGGGAGGGAATGTCTAGGCTACCGAATTCTGAGCAGGTACGACTTGCTGTAGCACTCTTCTACCAAAGGCAGCATCTGCTGCGGCAAGGGAGTCTAAACGGTAATGCCGAATGAAGACGGACGGTGAAGACCAAGTTGCTGCCTTGCAAATTTCTTCCACCGGCGCTTGTGTTAGCCACGCCGCAGATGTGGCTGCGCTCCGTGTTGAATGTGCAGTCACATGTGCGGGTACTGGTAGTTCCTGCGAGACGTAGGCTTGGGCTATGCAGGCCCTGATCCACCTACCTATGGTGGAAGAAGACACCTTCTTTCCCATAGTTGATGGTTGGAAGGAAACAAATAATGCTTCTGTCTTGCGGATGGCCGAAGTGCGTTTCACGTAGAAACACAGCGCTCTACGCACGTCCAGCTTGTGCCATCTATGCTCTACCCTATGTTTGGGTTTTGGGCAGAAATCAGGAAGAGTCAGTTCCTGAGACCTGTGAAAGATGCTGTTCACCTTCGGAATGAAGGCCGGGTCTGGCCTAAGAACGACCTTGTCCTTGAAGAAGGTACACAGATCCTTTCTTACTGACAGTGCCGCTAGTTCTGAAATTCTCCTTGCTGAAGTAATTGCCACAAGGAAGGCTACCTTCAGCGATAGGTGATGAAGGGAACATGATTCAAGAGGCTCAAAGGGTGCTGATGTCAAGGCTAGAAGGACTTTAGGCAAGTTCCAAGACGGGTACCTGTGTATGACCGGGGGCTTTGTGTTGGTCGCCCCTTTTAAAAAGGCGCTAATTGCTGGATGTTGCGCTAGGGATGTTAAGTTGTCGCAGGAGAGTACAGTTGAGAGAGCCGATATCTGTCTGCGAATAGTGTTGACTGATAGGCCCTTATTAAGATCCTCCAGGAGATAATCTAGAATATTGGGGATAGATACTGCAGCTGGATCTAGGTGCAGAGAAACGCACCACCTACAAAAGCCTTTCCATGTAGCATCGTAAATCCTGTTCGTGGACGCTCGTCGTGAAGCTTGTATGATCGATATCA